TTTTGTTTTTAGAATTATAAAATTTGATTCAAAAGTTTTATATAAAATTATTTTTTTCTATGAAACAACTATAATAATAATAATATTTCTTAATAACATAAAGTAATTAAAATTAGCAAGTGTTTAACAATTTAATTCATTTTTTATAACAAGTAATTTTAATCTCATACAAAAAGATAATCTTTAAAAATATAATTTTTAAATTGTTATTTAATATAAAAATCTCTATTAATTATATTACTTTCAACACACATTACTTATTAATGATTTCTCTGATCAAAAATTTATTTAATTTAAAACTAGAATACAATAAAATACAATTTATAAATTTAAATCTTTATGTTAATGAAAATAATATGTTTTTAAGTTCTTTGTAATTTTCATATGAATTATTACTCTTGAATTTTTATAGTAAATTTTTTTTTCAAAAAATTATACTTAAAATTGAAAATTTAATTAAAAGGTTTAAAATATTAATAAAATCTTTTAGAAAACTCTTTAATATTAAGTTAAGAATATAAAATTTTTATAAAAAGAGAAACAAAGTTGTTTAAAATTAAATTAAAAAGTTATATAAAGATGTTTTTAGTAATTATCCAACCCTTTATATATTCTTTACTCAATAATATATTTTTTGTAATAAAATTATTTTACTTTTTAAATGTATTTTCCTTTAATTATCTAACTAATTATAAAAAATAACTAAATTATTTTTTTTAATTTGCTAATTATATATAAATATTTATATAACTTTATAAATTCAACATTTTTATGTTTTCATATTTTTTAAAAATTTATTTTTCATTTAGTTTATTTTTAAATAAGTATATTTTAGTGAAGTAAGTAAAAAAATTAAAAATTTTTCTAAAAAACATACTAATTTTAAAGTTTAATCACATAAAAATGAGTATGCTTGAAGAATAAAAATCAATATTTTTTTAAATCTAGAAGTTTTCTTCTTTTTTTCTAAAATTGGTTCAGTAGAGTTTTTTTCACTATTAAAGTTTTTACAAACTTCAATTTTATCAAAACCAATTTGAGAATCATTTAATTCTACAGTTGAAGTTGTAATATTAATTTCTATTGATTCAATATCATCATTTATTTGAACATCTTTATCTTCTTTTTTAATATCCTCAGTTTGAACACCTTTATCTTCTTTTTTAAGACTTGTTTCTTCTATGTGAATATCTTTTTCATCTTGTTTATACTCTTCAGCAAATGTTATTAATTAATTTGTTGATAAAATAGGAATAATGAAAAATAACAACCACATTTTAAGGATTAAAAAATTTTTATTAAATTTATTTAAAAATATTTAAGTTTATTTTAAGAAAATTAAAAAACACTTTACTAACTCAACATAATAGGTTTGTTTAAAATGTAAAAGATATTAAATAATTTGTATGAATTTTTTTAACAAAAAATCTTATTTTAAACAATAAATTGATTATAAAAAAATTTATTTAAAGTATAAAAATAATTTTTCTTTATAATCAATTTTTTCTATATAATAACTTTCTATAAAATAAACACCTTTAAACCTCACTTTTCCATAAATAGAGTATCTTTCATTTATTTCAAGTTCATCATTAGTTAAAATTATACAAAATGCACTTGAATCATATCCAAAATAATGTCTATTACTCCTTTTTTGAGTTACTGTGATAAAATAACATAAAAATTCATCAGAAATATTTTCTCTAATTAAATTCAATTTTAATGATTCATTAACAATTAACTCTCCATCAGTTAAAGAACTTTCTATAATTAAAGATTCGATTTCAGTAGAACTAAAACTTGTGTTAACATAAGTAGAAGAAGAACTCTTTAAAGTATTAAAAGTTGTTGAGGTGTAAAAATAAGAAGTATTTTGAGTCATGTAAATAAAAAATAAAAAATATTTATTCTTCAGTTTTAATACGAGGAGCAATGTTCATTGCCATTAATTCTTGAATGAGAATTTTAAATGCATAAGGAATTTCAACCTTAGAAATGTTTGTATGATTAGAACAATTTTTACATTCATAAAAATCTTCACCAGCAATAGCAAACAATCCACAACTGTTACAAACATAAGCAGTGTATGTATCAGAGACATCTAAAAGTCTCTCTTTAAGAAATGCAGCAGTACCATGAGAGATCATACAATCTCTTTCCATTTCTCCAAATCTTAATCCTCCATCTCTTGACCTTCCTTCAACAGGTTGTCTTGTTAGTACTTGTAATGGTCCTCTTGCTCTACCATGCATTTTATCATCTACCATATGTTTTAATCTTTGATAATAAGTAGGTCCAATAAAGATACTAGCTTTTAGTTTATAACCAGTCATACCATTGTGCATTACTTCATATCCACAGTCTTGATAATTGAATTCTCTTAACTTACTTGATATTTCTTCTACCGATACTTTAGTAAAAGGTGTAGCATCTCCCTCTTCACCTGATAAAGCACTAACTTTTCCTAACAAGCATTCTAATAAGTGACCAATAGTCATACGAGATGGGATAGCATGAGGATTAATAATTATGTCAGGAATGATACCCTCACCAGTAAATGGCATATCCTCTTGATCTAAAATAATTCCTATTGTTCCTTTCTGAGCATGTCTAGAAGCAAATTTATCACCCCTTTCAGGTATTCTTAAACTTCTTATTTTAACCTTAAAGAATCTATAACCATCCTTAGTAGTTACAACCACTTTATCAACAATTCCTTTTTCATTTCTCCTCATAGATGTTGAATCATCAATAAACATGTAAAATTGACTTTCCTTTGTACTTTTTTCAATATCTAATGTTGGTGTAACCTTACCTATCAATATGTCATCACCTGTAACATAAGTACCTGGACAAATAACCCCATCATTTTCAAGTTTATCATAATTACAATTTTTAATATTATAAACAGCTTGTTTATCAACTCTACCTATTTTTTCTATCATACCTGGTCTAGCCATTTTTTCTTGATCAGAATATGTTCTATAAATAAATGATCTAAATAACCCTCTATCAATAGCAGCCCTATTCATAATAATTGAATCTTCCTGATTATAACCAGTATAACAAGCAATAGCAACAATACAATTCTGTCCACTAGGTAATTCTTTATATTTTAAGTATTCCATAGAACGTGTAGTTACTAAAGGTTTCTGTGGATAAATTAGAATATTAGTTAATGAATCAAATCTTTTAACATAATTAGTAGAAGAAATTCCAACTGCTTGTTTACCCATCGCAGACTGATAAGTATTTCTAGGTGAAGGATTATGACCAGGAAATGGAATTGTTGATGCTGCTATCCCTAGGATCATTGAAGGATGTATTTCACAATGTGTATATCTAATTAAACTATTAGGATCATTCTTTTGTTTATATAATTCTTCTATACTCATTGCTATTAAAACAGTTTCTTCTTCCTCTACATCTAAGTATTCTATTTTACCTGAAATTATTAAATCATCCCATTTCATTTGAATTTGTCTTAAACTATCTAAATCTTTTTCTGTTACTAACAACTCATTATTTTCAACTATAAACAACGGCCTACATGGTCTACCAGAATCTGATACAATTCTTAATTCATCTTCTTGAATATCAAATACTATTGATGTTTCAAAATACAACTGACCATGTCTTCTTAAATTTCTTAAGTATGTTAACAATTCAATAGGAACATTTGTAATACCAATCCAAATACCATTAACAAATACTTTTGTATTTGTTGGTGATGATATTTCTTCTAATCTTTCTACACCAAATTCTTCTAATATTTCTATAATCGGTCCTGCTGGTTTTCCCACTGAAATGTAAGCCATTAATGATAAATTCTTTACTAATCCACAGGCTTGTCCTTCTGGTGTCTCAGTAGGACATATCATACCCCAATAAGTATTGTGTAATTGACGAGGTGGTGCTAATTTATCACCTTTGTTTAATGGTGTATTTACACGTCTTAAATGACTTAATGTTGATATAAAATTATATCTGTTCAATACTTGTGCTACTCCTGCTTTTGAATTTGATCCTTTCATTTGATCTCCCCAATTACCTGTTGCTAATGCAAATTTAAACCCTGTTGTTATTATTGAACACTTCAATCCAATTGCTAAATTAAAATCTCTATTTGTTTCTACACACTTCTGCATATGTTTAGCAGTTTCTGCACACATTTTCTTAAAAAGTACTTTAAATAATCCTGCTAACATTGCTCCAGATAAATCCATTCTTTTCTTACCATAATGATCTCTATCATCTACTGATCTCCTTTTCAATAAAACTGATACCATCTTATTAATCATATACCCTAAGAAATATGCCTTTCTAGTTTCTAAAAACTCACGACTACCAATGTGTGGTAAAAATTCTTTAGCAAGTAAAATTTTAGCATGTTCGATTCTCTTATCCCTAGATAGACCCACTTGTGCACTTCTTTTTCCTATAAAATCTAAAGCACTTTGTTGATCTTGTATTGGTGCAGCTTCTTCAAAACTTGAGACTAAAAACAAGTGCATTTCATCATCGTTCTCATCAAACACAATATGCGATATTATTTCCTTATCTGATAAAAACCCTAATGCTTTGAATATAATTATAACTGGAATGTCTACTTTAACTCCCGCAAGTGATGCTCTAATAACTTCTGTATTTGTTAACACTTTGAGAGTAAAAGCACTTGGTGTTTTTGATCCCTTTTCAGGTACAGATCTAATCTCACTATAGTGACTATAACTTGCCGGTTGTGTTTTTTCAAAAACACTAATTGTATTTGTTGCCATACGCTCTTGTGCAATAATAACCTTTTCTCCTCCTTGGATTATAAAATATCCTCCTTCATCATATGGACATTCTCCTAACAATATAATATCTTTATCATGCATATCAAACTGCAAACAACATGCACTCTTAACCATAACTGGTACCTGACCTAAAGGCTGTTTAATAAATGTAGACACAATCTTCTCTCCATATTCATTAATATAAGTTTTCTTAATATCAACAAAAAGATTACAACCATATGTTAAATCTCTAATTCTTGCTTCATTAGGGAGAATTGCATTTGATGTACCATCTTTCTCAGAATAAATTGGAGGTGTACTTACGTAAATTTGACCAAATTCTAATATCATCTTTCTAGTTTCAGTCATACCAGGCGTTGGTGTACTCTCAACTATAATTTGAAACATCTCTTCTACAATTTCTTGCATCTTTGTCTTAATAAATTCATCAAAAGAGTCTAACTGTTGTCTAACCAATCCTTTCTGTTCAAAGAATGATGTAATAATAGTCCAAACATCATCCTCATCAAACTGTTTTCTTTGATTATCCTTGCAATTTTTATCTAATCCATTTTTATTAAAACTCTGTTCCTCTTTAACTGAATGCATTAATTTGTGGGAATAAATTTAAATTTTTTAACTAAAACAAACAAAATGAGTGAGGATAATGAGGAAATTAAAAATGAATGCAATATTCAAGATAATGAGAAAAGTACACCAGAAAAAAGACGAAATGATACAGAAAATTGCATTAAAGATCAAATAGATTTTTTAAATTCGTTTAAAGATTTGCCAAAAAAGAAATTTAAGAGGGAAAAAGTTTTTATAAAAACACTTTCTAATGAAAATTTAATTGTAATTTTGTGGGTTGAAGAAGAAAGTTCTGTTTAAAAAATATTAATAAAATTTTGTTAGAAAATAAAACAGAATTTTTTGTTAGAAAATGAAGCTTAATCTGCTACCAAATCATTTAAATATAAACAAAATACTTGAAAGAGAAGCTTTAATAGAAGTTGAATTTAATGAGAATATAAGATCAACTAAACTTTATACAAATATCATTGATGGTTTTAAAGGACAATTTCCAATTTCAGTTGTAGATTTTTTTATAAGAAATGAACACTGTAAACCAATAGAAAATGACTTTAAAAGTATGAAAGAGGAACTAAATGCAGACTCACACATAGTAAACTTAAGAAATGAGTATTTTTATACAAAAAGTTTATTAAATGGTCTTGATAACAACTCAGAAGAATTAAAAAGTATATTTTTTGAGAGGATGAGTCATTTTTCTAAACTTTTACTTAAATCTGATTTTACAGAAGATGACATGTTGATTTTAAGTGCAGAAGAAAAGAACATTATTTTAAGATCAAAACAAGCCTTTAATAAGTTCAAATAAGCAATTAGTTTAATTATTTTCTAAAAAATATCAAATAAAGAACAAATAGAACAATCAGTAATAAAACATACATTTTATACTTCTCCATCTGTTCTTTTTTTCTAATATTTTGAACTTTCTTAGACATTTCCATTGTATGAAAGTTAAGATTTTGAGCCTGTGTTGTTATCTCATTAATCTTATCTCCTCTGTTAATTAAAGCATTTAAACTATCAACAACTGTTGAATGTACACCTTCTAATGCTAAATTACTCTTAATATTTGATTCATTACTATTAAAATTATTAGTAAATGTTTTTAATTCATTATCAAAGCTATAATTTAACACATCTAATGATTTTATCTTTTGATGAAGATTTTTAAAATACTTGTTGACAGTGTCATCATTTGATTTACGATCAACAATCACAACAAGGATGTAAGAGCCTTTTAAAGTGACGTAAAATTTCAAAGTCTCTTTAACAGACAGTTGACCAGAAATTATTTGATCTTGATTAATAATACGATTACAATTAGAGACATTCTTAGCTAGATCATTGAGTAAACTACTATCATCTTGAATGTTTAATCCTTGATGAGAATAGTTAGCAGTGATTACTTTATTATTTAAATTTCTTATCTGAGAGTACAAAACAACCATTAAATATTTAATAAAAGAGGGCTTAAAAAATTAAAATTATTAAATAATTTATTTTCAGGGGTGGGGGTTAAAAATTTTCATTGTGTAATCATGAAATATTTTATTGAGATATTAGCACTTAAAAATTTTAAAGAAGATAGTTATAAAGTACTATTAAATATTGAAAAATAAAAAAGGAAAATAATATTTAGAATCATAATTGAGAGAAATATTCAATGTATTGATGTTTAATATTTAAGTTTAAAATAAGTTTATTTTTGAATAAATAATATTTAATAAGGACGGGTTAAAAATTTATGACTAAAAATTGGATCAACCAGATAAATCAAAAAAGTACAGAAACAGCATACAACGAATTTATAAAGAATGCAGAACGAGATACAAAGCCTAGTAAAGAAGAAGGAAAGAGTAAGGCATATGCCTTTCCTAGTTATTTTAATTTTAGTTATACTACAGTTGATAGTATTAAGAACAAAACTTTCAATCCAATTGATTCTTCAACTACAAACAACATACAAACTGGTAATTATATCTGTACTAAGACGAGTTGTCAAAGAACTGATGGTCATATAAGTAAGACCGTAAAACCATTTAAGAGTATTTCTAATAACGTAAGAGATGAAGGTAATCACATACGTGTTGGGGACAATAGAACGACTGTCATGATTCGTAATATCCCAAATAAAGTTGATCTGGATATTCTAATTCAACTGATCAATAAGTGGGTGTTTGGAAGATATAACTTTCTTTATTTAAGACTAGATTTTTCAAACGGATGTAATACAGGATATGCCTTTATTAACTTTGTGAGTAAAGAAGATGTACAGATATTTTATAAAGCTTTTCAAGGATACAAATGGATTGATTTTCATCATTCAAGTAAGGTTGTTCAATTGGCATACGCGAATATCCAAGGATTAGAGGCTTTAATTACTAAATTTAAAGAATCCTCAGTTATGGGAATGCCACCCGAGTACAGACCAAGATTATTTTATACTAGCGGTAAATTAATAGGTAAAACAAAGCCTAATTTTGATTTAAAAGAATAAATAATCAATAGAAATTTATAAATTAGATTCTGTATTTTTGTTTGTAGTCTCAAACTCTAATAGTCTTTCACTCAAATCTACATGTCCTAAAAACATTCTTCTACAACAATATCTTTTCATCCCAAGTATATCTAATGCTTCTCCTGCTCTCATGTTACTTTCTTTTAATTGTGTAAATTCTTCAAATCTAGAACTTATTTCTTTTCCACACGTAAAACATCTCACTGGAATGATCATTCTAATTGAGGATTAAAAATTATTTAAAATTTAATTAAATAAAATTATAAAGAAAAACAATGATGTTTTTTAATTTGATTAGTTGTGTAATTTTATTATCTGATCAAAATGATTATGATAATTCTAGTTTCAATAAGAAGATTTGTTTATCTAATAAAAGTTTAATTAAAAAGTATAAATTAACTATAAAAAGTGTCTTTGATGATTATTTTGAAAAAGAGATATGTTGTTGTTTAGATATTATCGATGAGTTATGTGAAAATAACTCTTCATATTACAAATCAGAATTAGATTCTTATTTAAGATATTACTTTAAAGAGTTTCTTATTCTACCTGTATACAGAGAAATAGATAAAAATTTTAATTTTTTTACAAATGTAATATACTTTGAAAAAATTCATAGAAAATTTGATTTAATTTTTAAAGACATGGAAGAAATTTTTTTAATTGAATTTTTACTTTACGTTTCATTAATTAAACATGAAGATTTTGATCATTTAAACAATGAAAGTTTAAATATTTTAATTGATCTCATCATTAATAAAAGTAAAAATAATTTTTATTTATATAAATATGAATTTTTACATAAAATAAAAGAACATATCAACATTCTACAAAATGATCATTTAAAAACAATTTCAGAATAAAATGTATTATTTTTATTTTTTCTAAATATTCTAATTAATAAATTAATCAATTTTATTTTAAAAACAAAAGATTTTAAACCCTTAAATTAATATGAAATTCATTGATATTTGTTTAAGAGTTTGTAACCAATTGATTAGTTGTGTAAATCCACCATTTTTAACTGTGGACATTAACAATAACTTAGTATATAAAAAAAAGGATAATAAAATTAGACATAAAGAAGATATCCCTGTAAACATCATACAAGGCAAATTAGATATCCTTGAAACGAAAGCAGATGAGTGGATGAAAATTGTTCAACTAGACATGGATTCAATTTTTAAAGAAATTACTGAAATTTTAAAAGAAAAATATGAAAATAGTGAAGAGTCGGTTAAATTAGCACAAAATTACATTGAAAATAAGTTATTTACTATTGTGGATATTTTAAGAAATCAATTTAAAGAAAAAATTGAGATTTTAAATAAAGAATTAATACAACATTCAGATTGTAATAAAGAATTAATTAGGGAAATTAAAAAATCATTTGAGATGGAAATTGAAAAATTTGATTTAAATATTCACAAAAGATTAGATGATGAAATTGAAAATATATTTGAAAGGAATGTTAATAATTATTTTTTTAATGATTTTGTTAAACGTAAGTTTGTAGAAGTACAAATAGGAAAAATTAAAAACTCAATTAGAAGTTATATTAGTTTTCAAATAAATAATATGATAGCTTTGATAAATCGAGCTTTTCTAAATATATTTAAGATAATTAATAAGAAGTTTGAATCAACTAATAATTTATCAAACAAAAATTTAAAAGTTGAAATTAATAATAATACAGAAATCAATAATAATACAGAAATCAAAGATAAAGAAGTGGATAGTGAAAGCAGTAAAGTTAATTACTGTAATCCATTTTCTAATGCAGTACAAAGGCTTATTAATTGTATTAAAAATATGTTATATGTTTAAATAAAATGATTAAAGTTATTTAATTAAAATATTTAACTAACTAAGTTTATTAAAACATTCCTTTGCTGTTACTAAGAGCATCTAATTTTTTATCATTTCTTTCAATCAAATCATAACACTCATTAAACAAATCAAGTACTCCATGATTTTCATCCTTGAAGGTTTCAACTTTCCTTGTAAATTTCTCAGAAATTTCTTCAAATGTTCCAATTACATCTTCTACTTTAACTTCTTCAACAACAGAATCATTATTCTTTTTATCTAATTCATTAGAAAAATAGTCCAGTGCTTCTAATAATTCATCAAGTTTAAGATTTTCATCTTCAATTTTCTTTTGAACTGTCACGTAATTGGATCTCAAAGTAATTAACTTCATATCTTGTTCAAATATTTCTTTTGCGTCTTCTCTAAATCTATTAATATTTTCATTAAGTTGTTCTGTTTGTTTATCAATAATTTCTTTCACTGATAAGTTATAAAGACCTGATGTGGAATCTTTAATAGATGATACAAATGCTGAGGTATTATTATCAAGGATTGTAGTGTTAGAATTTTGTTCTAATGTTACATTTGGTTTATTTGTAATATTAAACATAGTTTGATTATTAGAACTAAATGGTACTTCATTATTACTTGTTGATCCTAATATACTTGTTTGATTGATTGTATTTGTAGTAGGTTGATTACTAAATGGATTATTATTATTAAATGGATTATTATTACTAATTGGATTAGTTGTTTGATTAGTACTAAAAGGATTACTTGTTTGATTAGTACTAAAAGGATTACTTGTTTGATTACTAAAAGGTGTAGTAGTTTGATTACTAATCTGATTAGTTGTTTGATTACTAAAAGGTGTAGTAGTTTGATTACTAATCTGATTAGTTGTTTGATTACTAAAAGGTGTAGTAGTTTGATTACTAAAAGGTGTAGTAGTTTGATTACCAAATGGATTATTATTACTAATCTGATTAGTAGTATTAAAAGGATTATTATTATTATTAATAGTACTAAATGTATTAGTTGGTTGATTACTAAATGGTGTAGTTGTTGTTTGATTGGTACTAAAAGGATTAATTGTTTGATTGGTACTAAAAGGATTAGTTGTTTGATTATTATTTGTTTGATTATTAGTATTAAAAGGATTATTACTTGATTGATTATTAGTACCAAAAGGATTTACTGTATTATTATCTTGCTTATTTTGTTGATTAAAAGGATTTTCATTAAAAACCATTTTTTGGGGTTAAAAACTTTCAATGAAATTTATTAATTAAACTTCTTAAAAACTTTCATCAAATCATCAATCTCAATTTCTAAACAATCAACTATATAAATCTTATTCTGTCTAATCATTAAATTGAAAATTAAGTAATTTGGTTTTACTTTAACTAATAAATCTTTCGATGAAATAAAACACTCATTATTTTCATAAGGTGTGATATACTTACTGCCTGTTAACACTGCTGTATTAAAAAAGTATCCATAAGTAAAAGACTCTTCTATTGATCCACTCACATTAACATCTCTAACTAGTTTATAGTTTTTAAATATTGGTATTTTCAATAACTGATCATAAATGTTCTTTATCTTATTAAATGATGACACTCTCAGATAATTTTCTTCTAAAAATTTTATATTAAAATCATTATCAACCCACGACTGCCACAAATCCAAATAAAAGTAAAAATTACCTCCACTGGTATCAAATTTCTCATAAATCTTTTTCTTTGCTTGTTCTTCATCATTAAATAATTTAAAAGACACAAATATTGGAAGACTTTCTAGAAATGCTGCTATTATTGCTACGCTTTTAAAACAATTATTTTCATAAGAGTGAATTAATGACATGCTTAGCTGTACTGGTAATGGTACTTTCATAATCTTTCTACCATATGCTGTAATCTTACCTGTTTTGTCTATTACTTTCAATGTAAGTAAATAATCGTATGCTTTTTGAACAGCATTTTCCTTTGGAACATCAACCCACTTATAATTCATTACGTCAACTATACCTAGTGAAGAACATGTCAATATGAATGGAACTAAATCTACTTTAAATATTTCTGGTTCTGGACTACACTCAAATGAATTGTATTCATCTCTTGTATACATTCTAAATACATGTCCATTACATGTTCTTCCTGCCCTTCCTTTCCTTTGTATTGCTTGACTTTTTGATATTCTTATTCTATCAAGTGATGATATTGATGTTTCACTTTCTACTGACAAAGACTTAACATATCCACAATCTATTACAAATCTTATGTTATTAATTGTCAAAGCTGTTTCCGCTATATTTGTTGCTAATATTACCTTTCTGTTTTTATTTTCGATTATTTCTCTTTGATTTTTAAAATCTAAATTTCCATATAAAGGAAATACTTTTATATTAGATCCTTCTAAATAAGAATTACACTCATCTACTGCTTTATTTATTTCATTGGCTCCAGACATAAACACTAGTATATTTCCATTTTTATATTTGGGTAAAATATCTAAAATAGTATCAATTGTCATTTGATAGTTATCATTTACTGGTTCATCTAAATAATGTTCTTCAACTTCAAATTTTTGAGTTTTTATTGTTATTAATGGACATTTAAAATAATTAACTAGCTTAATTGATTCTAATGTTGCACTCATAATTAACACTTTACTTTTAATTCTTTTTATATTTGTATTTATAAATCCTAATAACAAATCTATATTAACTGATCTTTCATGTGCTTCATCAATTATTATCAAGTCATATGAATTAATCACATTTAAATTAGAATTAGAATTAACTATTTCTCTTATAAATAAACCATCTGTTACATACTTTAATTTAGTTTTGTTAGTTATTTTTTTCTCAAATCTTACTGCATATCCCACTTCATAACCTAAATTTGTCTTATTTAAAACTGACACTCTTTTTGCTAAGTTAATAGTTGAAATTTTTCTGGGCTGAGTACAAACAATTTTTTTATACTCACTCATTAATTTTAATGGTATTGTTGTTGATTTTCCACACCCTGTGCTTCCTCTTAACAAAGTTACCTTGTTATCTCTTATGATTTTAAATATCTTTTTAATATTAATTTCACTAAATTTATACTCTCTAAAGTCATTTGACCAGCTATTTTTTACATCTTTCTTTTCTATTAAATTAAATCTATTAAATTGTAATTTGAACATAAAATCTTCTTTTTCTTGTGTTAATGAATTAATGTGTTCTATATGTTCTGGTTCTAAATAATCCTGTATCTCTTCACTATTAATCCTATCCATCAAATAATTTAGTTTATATTCATCGTTTATATTAACTTTTTCAATTAAGTATTCTCTTAGTTCTTCTTCGTTCATAAATTAAAATTCATTTTTTTCTTTATGAAAGAAATAGAATTGTTAAACATAAACATAGAAAATGAAAATGAGTTAAAAGTTGTCAGTGAATTAATAAGTAATGATCCTAAGAAATACTTTTTTGTAAGAAATTTAAATGATATAAAGAGTTATGTAAATAAGCTAAGTTTGTGTGCTAAAGATATTAAAATAGACTCATTGTTTATAGATTATTTAAAGTCTAATAATTCTGAAATTGAGTGGATTTTTAATGTTTTAAAAAACTTTAATTTTAAAAGATCTTTTCTTAGAGAATCTTTTGAACTCATTTTGTATTCGGATTACGATTCTAATTATTTAAAATATAAATCACTTGAGTTAATATTAGATTGTTATTATAGAATGGATGGAATTATACTTAACAGATCAGAAAATAAGCTTAAATTTGATCAATTAAAAAGTTTTGATA